AACGAAATCACTTTTCACTTCATCTCTGGAGGCCCCTCCAGCTGGCGGTGGCCCCCTAAAGCCCCCACGCCTTGATCAGGCCCTGATCATCACCACAACCACCGCCACCACCGCCACCACCACCACAATCACCACCACCACCACCAACACTGCAGCCACAACCTCCACCACGGCGACCACCCAAGCGGCTGTTTGTTTTTTCTTTCTGTGCGCAGTCATCGGTGACGGGGCTGATGTCAGTAGCTGGGAGCTGCTGACCGGTTTAATCATTGGAGTCCGTGACCCCGAACACACCACGGCAATTAATATGAGAGAGAGGCTCGGGCCGCGTGACTCTGACACGGTCACTGTGGTTCCGCTGAGCCAATGGGCTGCCTCTGGCAAATTAAACGAGAGAAGAAAATCCACTTGACATTGACTGAACAAAAACTAAATATTCGTCGCGTGTTCCATGCTGTGGGTTTGCTTGTTGCCTTTCTACGAGGTAGGGAGGCTAAGAGTTTGAGCGCAATGTGCCAATGGGACAGGTTTGAGGTCCAAATGTTTTTTGGCCGGGGTCGAGCAGGTGAGAAGTGGAGAGACTGGGACTCGAAGCGAATTTGCACGACCGAATTTCCTGGCTTGGCACGACCACCACCACCACCCACCGCTACCACCACCCACCACTACCACCACCCACCACTACCACCACCCACCACTACCACCACTACCACCACCACTCACCGCTACCACCACCCACCACTACCACCACCCACCACCACCCACCACTACCACTACCCACCGCTACCACCACCAACCACTACCACCACCCACCACTACCACCACCCACCACCACCCACTACTATCACCACCCACCACTACCACCACCCACCATTACTACCACACACCACTACTACCACCCACCAACCACCACCACCAATGGAGAACGAATTACAAAATAAACAACGACAAACATCACTGCTGGCGAAGGCGAAACGATCTCAAGTCGCTGCCAATTCCTTTGAAATTCCCCGCAGTGCAAGCCGCCTCGAGATGACCGCACGTGCTTTTTTTACACGAACATTAAAAGTCACGGGAACATCAACCAGGTGACCGGGCGACGATTGTACGAGCGTGTAAACAGGCGCGGGCTTCATCGCAAAGAACTAGAACGTCTTCAGAGCATTTATTGACTTCCAATTTCTGACATCTGAGGTCGGTCGCGCACTGCGAATAGGCACCACAGAGGGCCTGGGTTCGAATCCTTGGGATTGAACTCTGGGTGCTCTCGTGCGGCGGGTTGATTGTCTCAGCGCGGTCACCGTTGACTTAGCAGAGAAACCTACAGACTCGCATAGAGACCCATAGACTCACATAGAGACCCATAGACTCACATAGATACCCACAGACTCACATAGAGACCCACAAACTCGCATAGAGACCCATAGACTAACATAGAGACCCATAGACTCACATAGATACCCATAGACTCACATAGAGACCCACAGACTCACATAGAGACCCACAAACTCGCATAGAGATCCATAGACTCACATAGATACCCACAGACTCACATAGAGACCCACAGACTCACATAGAGATCCACAGACTCGCATAGAGACCCATAGACTAATATATAGACCCATAGACTCACATAGAGACCCACAGACTCACGTAAAGACCCACAAACTCGCATAGAGACCCATACACTCACAGAGAGACCTATAGACTAACATAGAGACCCATAAACTAACATAGAGACCCATAGACTCACATAGATACCTATAGACTCACATAGATACCCACATACTCACATAGAGACCCACAGACTCACATAGAGACTCACAGACTCACATAGAGACCCACAGACTCACGTAGAGACACACATAGACTCACATAGAGACCCACAGACTCACATAGATACCCATAGACTCACATATAGACTCACAGACTCACATAGAGACCCACAAACTCACATAGAGACCCACAGACTCACATAGAGACCATAGACTCACATAGAGACCCATCGACTAACATAGAGACCCATAGACTCACATAGATACCCATAGACTCATATAGAGACCCACAGACTCACATAGAGACCCACAAACTCGCATAGAGACCCATAGACTCACATAGATACCCACAGACTCACATAGAGACCCACAGACTCACATAGAGATCCACAGACTCGCATAGAGACCCATAGACTAACATAGAGACCCATAGACTCACATAGAGACCCACAGACTCACGTAAAGACCTACAAACTCGCATAGAGACCCATACACTCACAGAGAGACCTATAGACTAACATAGAGACCCATAAACTAACATAGAGACCCATAGACTCACATAGATACCTATAGACTCACATAGATACCCACATACTCACATAGAGACCCACAGACTCACATAGAGACTCACAGACTCACATAGAGACCCACAGACTCACGTAGAGACACACATAGACTCACATAGAGACCCACAGACTCACATAGATACCCATAGACTCACATATAGACTCACAGACTCACATAGAGACCCACAAACTCACATAGAGACCCACAGACTCACATAGAGACCATAGACTCACATAGAGACCCATCGACTAACATAGAGACCCATAGACTAACATAGAGATCCATTGACTCACATAGATACCCATAGACTCACATAGAGACCCACAAACTCGCATAGAGACCCATAGACTAACATAGAGATCCATAGACTCACATAGAGACTCACAGACTCACATAGAGACCCACAGACTCACATGGATACCCATAGACTCACATAGAGACTCACAGACTCACGCAGAGACCCATAGACTCACATAGAGACCCATAGACTCACGTAGAGACCCAAAGACTCACATAGAGACCCATAGACTCACGTAGAGACTCATTGAATCACATGGAGGGATTCGAATCGATTTTTTTTTTAATCTGACGACAATACTTAGCCACTCGTATCCATTATAGGACAGTGATATTTAGAAATGTACCTGTTGTCAATGAGAAAACGTGGTGTGCATTTGTGTCTTTCGTTCACATAGAGTCCTGGTCACAAAAGCAAAGTTTGTGGGGAACAATAATAGCCATTTTATATACTTTTGAGGCAATAGCAATTAGAAAATAACACTTGGTACCCAGGAACAAAAATCGTGTTACATAGTGTAATAATCAATGAAAGTCATTTCAGATTTGGGCCACGTGTTAGCCAGGCTCACAATTGCCAAGCGCTGTTCCCACGTTTGTCTGCTTCCTGAGCGAAGCCTCGATGCGGGACTCACGCTGAGTATGAGATGGGGAGCGGTGGCGCAGCGGTTAGCGCACTGTGTGTGTGCGTCGATTCGATTATCTGAACCGGCCGTGGGCCTCACCTAGGTCGACTTAGCCTCAAATGAGTTCCCTTGTGCGATGTGTAAACATCGCCCCTGGGGAGACAAAGGCGGTCGGGCGTGGTGTTGGCCAACCACCCCCTTGCGTGCTGTGCCGGCCTTTATAGGTGCTCGCTAACAGCACTTGCCCCTACAGTCTGTTAAGGCTATACGGGGGATCTTTGTCTTTGTCAGTGGCAAAGATCCCCGGTACAGCCTTGACAGACTGTTGGGGCAAGTGCCGCTAGCGAGTAGCAGCACCTGTGAAGGTGCTAACGGGCACACACGAGGGGGTGGGTGTCCAGCACCACGCACGACCGCCTTTGTCTCCCCAGTGGCGATGTTTGTACATCGCATCGGGTACTCATCTCTTTATCAGAATCTTTATTTATCCTGGAGAAATTCGATAAGCTATGAAGCTCTTTCCCGCCCCCCCCCCCCCCCCACACAAATGTCCATTAGACACATGTACGGTACACACACATTGTCATCGTCATCATCATTTGAGGCTGAGTCGACCTAGTGGACGCTCGGGACCAATTAACTAAACTAAAAACTTATTTGTACTTGACCAGGTAAGGCCCCACTGAACTACGCGGCTTTTTTTCAGAAGCCACCTGGCCACAAATGATCGCTCAACGAAGCGGCCTGTCACGTGGACATGTAGAGCAAAGCAGCCACATACTCAACACGCGTGCTGATGTTGATTCTACATGTGGATGGAAAAACCCGGAGGATCTGGAGAAAAATCCACGCGACAGAGACACACGCGCAAGCTCCAAATATACAGCAGCAGGCGTCAGGGTTGGGATCTAACCCACGGACCTCCTGCATACCAGGCGAGGTAGTTAACATCTCCTAGCCACCGTGATGATGATGATGATGAGAGAGACGCGCAAGCACCAAATATACAGCAGCAGGCGTCAGGGTTGGGATCGAACCCACGGACCTCCTGCATACCAGGCGAGGGAGTTAACATCTCACCATCGTGGCGTCCATTCGGTTCGGATAATTGTCACTGGTGTTAGCCGTGAGCGGGAATCGAACTCGGGGCAGGTGGGTTCGTGGTTGCAGCGTGGCGCTAACAGCTACATTGCCGCTACCGCCAACCATCATCATCCTCATCATCGTCCTCATCATCATCATCATCAGCAGCTCCACCGCCACCTAGCTTGGCCCTCGCGGCAACCCGTGGGGTCAGGACGGGAGGGTCGGCCCACGGCCTCGATGACTGGACGGGGCCTCTCTCTCTCTCTCTCTGCCTGGCTGGCTGGGGCTGCAATGGCGCGGGGCGATCTTTGGTGGGGTGCTGCCGAGTCTATCGCGGCTTTATGCGCCATCCTAATGATCGGTAACGCGATCTCGAGGCCCCCACTGCTCAATAAGCCTCGCTGTGCCATGCGCACCACTCACCACCCCCCCACCCAGGTCTCTATCGCCCCCCACCCCCCTGGGGACCCACGGCTCACTGAGCCCACATTTTGATTTCTCTCTGCTCGTGTTTTGTTGTTTTGTTTAAGGACCACCTAGGGAGCCCCCCCCCCCACTACCACCCCCACAGCTCCCCCCATCCCCCAGTGCTCCACCACCACCCCCTACTGCCCCCCCCCAATGCTCCACCACTCCCCCCCCCACACACCTCTCGCTCGGCCAGCAAAGAATCCTCGTCTTGCCCCCCGCCGAAGATCCACGTTCACCTCCAGGGAGACGCCGCGCCCAGTGCGGTCGGGGGTTGATGGGCGATGGGCGGTGCCCACGGTGGGCACGGTTCACGTGGTAGGCAGAGGGGTTGCCCCCGGTGGGCACCGATCGGTGGGCACCAGCGCTGGTCGCTCACCCAAGCGGCCTCCATCCTCCCTCGTAAATAATCAGAGCCCAGACACCCGCTGACGTTCCCACCACCACCACCACCACCACCACAAAAAAAGACAAAGATCCCCCGTATAGCCTGATCAGATTGTCGGGGCAAGTGCTGTTAGCGAGTAGCACCTATGAAGGCCGGCACGGCACACGAGGTGAGTGGTCAGCCCCACGCCCGGCCATCTTTGTCTCCCCAGCGGCGATGTTTACACACATTGCACCGGGTGCTCATTTGAGGCTGAGCCGACCTAGGGGAGGCCCAGGACCGGTTCAGATAATCGTCACCTGGTGTTGGTGGCCGTGAGCGGGAATCGAACTCGGGCCGCCGGGTTCGTAGCGCGTGCGTAGGGCCGACCGCTACACCACCGCTCCCCACACGCCCAGGTACACGCCTCCAGCCCTCTTGCAAAATCCACTGCTGGATAGAGGGCGATCTTTGCCTTTGTGTCGGGGCGGGGAGTGGAGGGGGGGGTCTAGTTGGTCAAATAATCACCCCGTAACTTACGAGACTTGGAGTGGCCTTCACAACAATACGCACATACACACACAGTGTGTGTATCTTTGTGAATATATGTATTTATATAAGCGCACACATATACACATTAATTACACACCCGTGTACGTGTGTGTGTAGGTGTGTGTGTGTGTTGCGGGGAGCGGTGGTGTAGCGGTTAGCGCGCTGCGCTATGAACCTGGCGACCCGGGTTCGATTCCCACTCACGGCCAACACCAGTGACGATTATCTGAACCGGTCCTGGGCCTCCCCTAGGTCGACTCAGCCTCAAAGGAGTACCTGGTGCGGTGGATAAAAACATTGCCACTGGGGAGACTAAGGCGGTCGGGCGTGGTGCTGGCCACCCACCCCCTTGTGTACCGTTCCGGCCTTCATAGGTGCTCGCTAACAGCACTTGCCCCTACAGTCTGTTAAGGCTATACGGGGGATCTTTATCTTTGTTGCGGGGTAAACGCACGCTGTACATTTAACGGTGTTTAAAGGACGATCGCAGCTGTGTTTGTGTTACGGGGCAATATTTAGTTGAAACGCCTTTGACCGCGCCTTCACGTGACCATTCATTATCCATGCGCTGCATCTACCACGTATCAACTCTCCCTCCTCCCCTCTCTCTCACTAATAAAGATGAATACAAAGATCCCCCGTATAGTCTCGACGTGACTTTTTGGGGGCAAGTGCCGTTAGCGAGTAGCACCTACGGAGGCCGGCACGGCACATGAGGGTGCGGGTGGGTGGCCAACGCCACGCCCGGCCGCCTTTGTCTCCCTCGTGGCGATGTTTACACACCGCACCAGGTACTCATTTGGGTGGGGGGAGGGGGAGAAGTCGAAGAACCGGTTTCAAGATAATCGTCACTGGCCGTGAGCGGGAATCGAACTCGGGTGGCCAGGTTCGCAACGCAGCCTCCTGTTGCCTAATCCTCGTCTTCATCACCCCTACGTTGGTTGCTCTATGGGCGAGGCGTCTCCACCGCCCGTACTCTGAACCCCCACGCCTTACGCCCTCTGCTTAGCGACCTTCATTTAAACTGAGAGCAACTCGCCATCACTTGGGGGTCTGTCTGCGGTGTCATGCAGGCGTCGAGTTCACGCTGACCAGAGATCCCGAGACCATGTGCCATGTCACGGTCTCTCGATCCACCACCCTTCCGTGTCTCGTCCATCCGTCGCTTCCATTCACTCAGCAATTCACTCAACAATTCACTCAGCAATTCACTCAGCAATTCACTCAGCAACTCACTCAGCAATTCACTCAGCAAGTCACTCACCAACTCACTCAGCAATTCACTCAGCAATTCACTCAGCGATTCACTCAGAAATTCACTCAGCAATTCACTCAGCAACTCACTCAGAAATTCACTCAGCAACTCACTCAGCAATTCACTCAGCAATTCACTCAGCAACTCACTCAGCAACTTACTCAGCAGCTCACTCAGCAACTCACTCAGCAATTCACTCAGCAATTCACTCAGCAATTCACTCAGCAACTCACTCATCAATTCACTCAGCAATTCACTCAGCAACTCACTCAGCAATTCACTCAGCAACTCACTCAGCAATTCACTCAGCAATTCACTCAGCAACTCACTCAGCAATTCACTCAGCAATTCACTCAGCAATTCACTCAGCAATTCACTCAGCAACTTACTCAGCAGCTCACTCAGCAACTCACTCAGCAATTCACTCAGCAACTCACTCAGCAACTACCTCAGCAACTCACTCAGCAATTCACTCAGCAATTCACTCAGCGATTCACTCAGCAACTTACTCGGCAACTACCTCAGCAACTCACTCAGGAATTCACTCAGCAATTCACTCAGCAACTCACTCAGCAACTCACTCAGCAACTCACTCAGCAATTCACTCAGCAACTCACTCAGCAATTCACTCAGCAATTCACTCAACAACTCACTCAGAAACTCACTCAGCAATTCACTCAGAAACTCACTCAACAATTCACTCAGAAACTCACTCAGCAATTCACTCAGCAATTCACTCAGCAACTCACTCAGCAATTCACTCAGCAATTCACTCAGCAACTCACTCAGCAACTACCTCAGCAACTCACTCAGCAATTCACTCAGCAATTCACTCAGCAATTCACTCAGCAACTCACTCAGCAACTTCCCCTCCGATTTTTGGATGCACGACGGACGGACGGACACAATAATCCCCTGTGAGCTGGTGTAACCAGGAGGTTCCTACACAGTATTAACTCACTCTGTTGTTGTATCCTCAAATCTTGTAACTCAATTTTAACCCACTTCCCAATGCGGTATCGACTGCAACCTTGGCAAACTAATGTCATGCTGATGACAATGTTATATTACATCATGAAAAAATATTTATTTTCAAACATTTTTTTAATGTTATGTTTCGGCTTGGCTCGAATTGTTCACGGTAAACTGACGTTGGCTGTAAATGACCACGGCCCCCTTACGTTATGGCAAGCTTCGGGGCCACTTCCTGGACTCGTGGAGTTCTTCCATTGCTAGCAGGGTACATTTAATGAAAGCGTGTTTAAGAAACAAGTTTTTTTTAAATATAACTTTTTTTCAGTTTCATGTATTCGGTATAAGCCTGTGAGCCATGCGGCTCTTGACTCGAGTGCAACCGCAACAAAAAAACAAAAACACGAGCAAGAAACATCTTCAAGTGACTACACGCAACAGGAAAAAAAAACAAACACCGCATTTCGACGCTGTGCGCAACGAGCGCCTTAATAGGCGCTCGCTAACAATCGTCAATGGAGGCTCCACGCAGGGAACTTTCGTCTTGCAACCACCACTACCACCCCCCCCACGCTTTGCCCTGCGTGCGTGCACATTGACAGAGAAATGACGATCAGAGGAAACAAGAAGATGGTCGGTGTAGTCGTCACTTTGCTTCGTTCATCATTTCGATGTTTTAAGGCTTTGCTTTATGTAAACCACCCCCCCCCCCCCCCCAATTTTTTTTTTAAATGAAAGATTTCACAAAAGATTTCACGCTCTGCTCTCCTTACCCCTTCCTTCTCTCTCTACCCCCTCTCTCACTACTCCCTCTCTCTCTCTACCCCCTCTCTCTACCCCTTCTCTCACTACCCCCTCGCTCTACCCCCTCTCTCTACCCCCTCTCTCTACCCCCTCTCTCACTACCCCCTCTCTCTCTACCCCCTCTCTCTACCCCCTCTCTCTACCCCCTCTCTCACTACCCCCTCTCTCACTACCCCCTATCTCTCTCTACCCCCTCTCTCTACCCCCTCTCTCTCTACCCCCTCTCTCACTACCCCCTCTACCCCCTCTCTCACTACCCCCTCTCACTACCCCCTCTCTCTACCCCCTCTCTCACTACCCCCTCTCGCTACCCCCTCTCTCTACCCCCTCTCTCACTACCCCCTCTCTCTCTACCCCCTCTCTCTACCCCCTCTCTCTACCCCCTCTCTCTCTACCCCCTCTCTCTACCCCCTCTCTCTACCCCCTCTCTCACTACCCCCTCTCTCTACCCCCTCTGTCTCTACCCTCTCTCTCTACCCCCTCTCTCTACCCCCTCTCTCTCTACCCCCCCTCTCTCTCTACCCCCTCTCTCACTACCCCCTCTCTCTACCCCCTCTCACTACCCCCCTCTCTCTACCCCCTCTCTCACTACCCTCTCTCACTACCCCCTCTCTCTACCCCCTCTCATTACCCCCTCTCTCTACTCCCTCTCTCACTACCCCCTCTCTCTACCCCCTCTCTCTACCCCCTCTCTCTACCCCCTCTCTCACTACCCTCTCTCTCACTACCCCCTCTCTCTACCCCCTCTCTCTCTACCCCCTTTCTCTACCCTCTCTCTCTACCCCCTCTCTCACTACCCCCTCTCTCTACCCCCTCTGTCTCTACCCCCTCTCTCTACCCCCTCTCTCTACCCCCTCTCTCACTACCCCCTCTCACTACCCCCTCTCTCTACCCCCTCTCTCACTACCCCCTCTCTCTCACTACCTTCTCTCACTACCCCCTCTCTCCACCCCCTCTCACTACCCCCTCTCTCACTACCCCCTCTCGCTACCCCCTCTCCCCCTACTCAATGTCTATGTTCCCCACCCACCCGCCGTGTTTTCTATGTAATAGTTGTAATAAATGCCATCTCTTAGCAACAGGGGTTGATGTCAGCCTACTTGATGAGGGCATTCCTCGTGCTGGGAGATGGCTGGGACCTTCCCCCGCAGCCCCTCCCCCCTCCCACCCCGCCCGTTCGTGAGAAGGTCTCCCCGGAAATCCGCGGAAGTTCCCACCTCGACCGTCAACAACAACACATACAAGACAACAACAACAACAAATACAAGACAACAACAATAACAACAAAACCCCCTACGTTGTTTTGTTTGTCAAACGTCCCCGGGGATTTGCCGAAGCGCTCGGGAACG